AAAAAAAAAAAAAAAAAAGAAAATGTAAATATGGTTATTCACCACTCTGGTGCCTAGGACAGTGCCTGGCTAGCATGCAGAGGTCCTCAGTAAATATTTGTTGAAGGGGTGATTGCAGGAATCCTTCTGCCTCCATCTGGAGGTGTGGGCTGAGGGGCCGAGGAGGACCTCTGAGAGCTTGGAGTTTCCCCAGCGAGGGTTGAGAGGAACTACAGGGAAGTGGGAGAGCCCATAGAATGTCTCACGGTGCCCAGCTGCTTCTGTTTGTCTGAGTGGGCCCTGGAGCAATGCTGCACCTGTGAGAGCTCCCCTGCTGAGACTCCCTGTTCTCTTATCTCCCAAGCGACAGGGGTGGCTTTTTATCTCCTGGGTGTGCTTCTGCTTCTTTGCTTGCAAGCCTTCTCAGAATGGGGCCCCAGGAAGCCTGAGGGACTTTCTCCTGATATGCCCTGTGCCACCTTTTTCATTCTGGATCCGCACCCAGGAGCCTGTGGACAAGGCCCATTGCCTGAGCCTGAACTAGGAGCACCTCCTAGGGACTGCCCAGGCTTGCTCTGCTCTGACCCTTCCGCTGGCCAGTCTGGGCACCTGGTAAGTGCCCAGAAAGGGAGTGAGGGGAAGCTGTCCTTTCACCCCAAACAGCAAGGCCTGGGCCCAGCTAGGCCTGAGTGTGGGGGATGTGTCAGTGCACATCTGCCTGGCTTAACATGCCATCCAATGGGAAAACTGTTGAATCGGGTGGTGCCAGGGGGTCTTCCCCTACACAAATAGGGAGCAGGAGAGGGACGCTGAGGGAGAAGGATAGGAGCTTTGGGATCCACCCCTCCAATCTTCTTTACAAGGTCACTCTCAGAAAGGGGAAGAGGACAGGGGCCTGTGACGGAGGAACTAAGGGAGGACTAGGTGACCCTAGGGTCAGGAGGTGGGAGGAGGAAGGACTGTACCCCCACATCCATTATGAAATATTTTCCTGGAAAACCAGCCAGCAACTAGGAAGCTCCTGGGCAGTGGCTGGAAAGAAAGGTTAAGGTGCCAACAGCAGAGAAGCTGGAATCTGGGGTGCCTCCAGGAGAGGACAGCCCCCACTCTAGCCGTGAATCCAGGGGCTTCCCAGGGAGGGTGGAGAGACCAGACTTGTGGAGAGGGGCCTGGGGAGCCTCTGGTTTGGCCTCAGCCATCATCGCCGTTGTCTCAGCTGCTGCAGATCTGCCTGTTCTGTGTCCTTCCTCCTCCTCCTCCCCCGACCTCTTTGCTGTGTCTCCTCCATTTGTCTCCCTTCTTCCCTTGTCATCACTGTCCCTGACCCCTCTCGTCCTCTTCCCTGCCTTCTTTGACTGTCTTTCCCTCCCTCCCATCATCTTTCCTCCTCCTTCCCTCCTGCTCTCCACCCTCCTGTTTCCCAGCTTATAAACTGCTTCGGCTGCTGGATAAAAATAGCGGTGGCAGCGGCCAGGCCGGGAGCCAGGTAGAGTCTGAGCAGGCAGGGGGGCCGTGCAGGACTGGCCTGCCGGGCCAGGGGGCTGGGTGGGGGTCAAGTTGAGTGGTCCTGAGGGCAGGGTACAGAGGGGGTCTTAGTGGACCTCCTCGACTGGCCTGTTCTGTCAGCCCTGCCCCCTCTCCCCCTAAGAGCCTGAGGAGGCCTGTGGCAGGGCCAAGACAGGGCCTTACACTGTTCCTGCCCCCAGCAGGCCCCTGAGGGAGGGAGCTGTCAGCCAGGCAAAACCCAGAACATCATCGCCATGACAACCAGTCACCAGCCTCAGGACAGGTAAGGGGTAGGGGGCTGGGCTGTGGATCCAGGGAATGGGTTTTCAGGGATCTGGGTGCGGTGTCCTTTGGAATTGGGGGTTGCCACTGCTGGCTGGCCTTCTAGCCAGGTAGCTATGAGTCAGGTCTGCATCAGGGGCGGAGACCCCTTGTGCCTTGGCTGGGTGCTGGCTGGGGGGTCTGCGGGAAGGGCAGGATGCGTGGGCAGCAGTCCCTCCCTGGCGTGTCTGTGTTTCCACTGTTGCTCTCCAGCCAGTTAGCGGCTTCTGGCTCCTCCTGCCACCACTGTGGGGAGATACTTGCCTCACCCCTCCTTCCAATGCACATCTGGCAGAACTGCCCTTGGGCCTCTGCCTTAGATGACCTGGCCCACCCTGGTTCTTGATCTGATCTTCTCAATTCCCCGCCTCTGGAGCCTGTGAATTCCCAATCAAGTTAGACTTGCAGTTATGACTGTGAATATGTATTTTGGAAGAGGAGGCTGTAGCTTAATTCAATTTCTTAAAGGGATCTGGGACCCAAGAAGGCTGAGGAAGTGATGCCTGAGATCCAAAGCTCCTTCAAAGCATCAGGCTCTGTCCTTCCCTCCAGCTGAGGCCCCAGAAACCTATCACGTCTGCCCTACCCATCTCATCTCCCTCCTGTGCCAAAGGCTATGAAACTAGGCCACTTGTGCCTGTGGGGGCTTTGAGCATGTAGCTTAATGTCTCTGGGACTGTTTTCCAACCTGTAAAATAGAACTAAAAGTATCTACTTCCCAGGAAGTGGATCTAGAAGTAAGGGAATTTAAGGAGGCATGGCAGTAAGTCCAGGCCCCAGGGTGCTTCCCTGCCTCCTGTGTTTCATTCCCAGGCTGCCTGCCCAGTCTATCCCCACCTCTGCTCTCCTGTGGGCAGTTCCCTGAAGCCCTCACTGTCTCCATTTGCCTTATTGCACAGCTCAGTCATTTCACAGCGCCCCCCGCCCCGATCCTCTCTCCTTTGTGACTTTGGGAGTTTTTCCTTCCACTCTGGGCCTCCGAATCAAGCCTTTAGCTTCTCCAAGGGAAGCGTGTATATGAGGGGGTTGGGGGACTGCAGTTGCATTAACTTAGATGTGCTCACGTGGGGCACTCACCACTCCATCCCTGTGTGAGGCCTGCCAGCCGTCCAGGCTCCTGCGCTCTGGCCAGGCCTGTCTTCTCACTGCCTTGGGCTTTATCCCTGCCATCTCTGAAAAGAGCTGGTGTTGGCTCTGGGGAGGGTGTGCAGACCCAACGGGAGATCTGCATGGGCTGGGCTGGGGTTACTCAGCTTTTAGGCAAGGCCTACTTGGGAGAAGCTGGCCTGACCCGGAAGGGCCTAGAAGTATAGGGCCTGGGGCATTTTCCTGGCCAAAGGAGGGCAGCCCTTATTTATACCCTGAGGCCCAGATGATCTCCAGTGGCCCCATACCTCCTGGCCTGCCCTGGGTGGTATGAACTACAAAGTTCTGTTTGGCCAGGAAGAAAACAGCTCTAAGGCCCTCTCTTCACAGCGGCCCTGAGGCACCCTGCCCGCCTGCCCCTGTAGGTTCAGAATAGTATGGGAGTTTCTCAACCTCAGAATCCTCTCTGGGGAGCAACACAGTCCCTGACCAGACAGCATAATTACTTCCAGCCTGCCTGGTGGGGGTGGAAGACACTTGCTGCTTGCTTTCTCACTCATCCACCCGCCCTCAGCCCTTCGGGAGGATTTCCAAAACCATCTCCGGATGTGTGGGTCACACTGGTTCCCAGCCTGCAGAGTCCCCCAGGCCTTCCAGGACTGATAACTATGGTCCTGTCAGCCATGCCATTCAGTCCTACGACCCTGACCCCCTCCCCACCCCGAATTCCAACAAGCCGTGTACCCTTTTCTCCCCCCACACCCGTAAGAGGACACGTGCAAATGGACACAAACACAGATGCCCTGGGACCTAGAGAGACTGAGGATGGACAGGGGCTTCCCTGGGGCTCATCGTGGAATGGGGCAGGATGGTGCGTCACTTGGCCCCTCTTTCCTCCCCCATTGCAGATACAAAGCTGTCTGGCTTATCTTCTTCATGCTGGGTCTGGGAACGCTGCTCCCATGGAATTTTTTCATGACGGCCACTCAGGTGAGGCCTGAGGGACTGGGCTCCATGGGGCATTGCCCACTGTGCCTGCAGGATCTGACTCTGTGCTGGTAGGCACAGGGAGAGAGATTTCAACACTCCTCTCTGCAACTCCTGCAGTATTTCACAAACCGCCTGGACATGTCCCAGAATGTGTCCTTGGTCACTGCTGAACTGAGCAAGGACGCCCAGGCGTCAGCCGCCCCTGCAGCACCCTTGCCTGAGCGGAACTCTCTCAGTGTCATCTTCAACAATGTCATGACCCTATGTGCCATGCTGCCCCTGCTGTTATTCACCTACCTCAACTCCTTCCTGCATCAGAGGTGAGTGCCCACCCCCTCCCCAGCCCCCAGCCTGACCCTCACTGTGTCTTGCACCCCCTTGGCTGAGCCCCAGCTTTGCCCACTTGTTTCCGCCACCCTTGGCCTCTCCCGGCAGGATCCCTCAGTCCATACGGATCCTGGGCAGCCTGGTGGCCATCCTGCTGGTGTTTCTGATCACCGCCATCCTGGTGAAGGTGCAGCTGGATGCTCTGCCCTTCTTTGTCATCACCATGATCAAGATCGTACTCATTAACTGTAAGCTGGGCCAGGAAGGGGCCTGTGGGAGGAGGCGTGCCCAACTACCCCCACTCTTTTTTCAGACCCACTGTTAGCCAGAGAGAAGCCCAGCCTCTGCCTGAAGGGAGTGGATGCTGTGAGCAGTTGGGATTCAGAGGCCTGAGTGGGCCTGGACCAGGGCTGGGAGGGGGCGGAGAGAAGGGCAGCTCAGCCTCAAGGCCCACCGAGAGTAAAGTAGGAATCACAGGGACCTGTCTTCTTGGGCACCCCCAACCGCCAACCCTAGCTCCCCTGCTCATGCCCACCCTGTTTCCCCAGCGTTTGGTGCCATCCTGCAGGGCAGCCTGTTTGGTCTGGCTGGCCTCCTGCCTGCCAGCTACACGGCCCCCATCATGAGTGGCCAGGGCCTAGCAGGCTTCTTTGCCTCCGTGGCCATGATCTGCGCTATTGCCAGTAAGTCCGGCTGTCTACCTGCCCAGTGCCCTGGTGTGGTGGGGAGAAGGGATGGGGCCTATCTCTGATCACTGACACCACCCCAGGTGGCTCGGAGCTATCAGAAAGTGCCTTTGGCTACTTTATCACAGCCTGTGCTGTTATCATTTTGACCATCATCTGTTACCTGGGCCTGCCCCGCCTGGTGAGTAAATGGAGGGAGCTGGGGTTTGGGGTATACAGGTCTGGGGTGTTCTAAGGACAAAACCTGAAGGAGGCTGGGATTCTGGAGATTCTGCCTGTGAATCCACCTCCCCCGTCTCCCTTACTTGATAGGAATTCTACCGCTACTACCAGCAGCTTAAGCTCGAAGGACCCGGGGAGCAGGAGACCAAGTTGGACCTCATTAGCAAAGGTCTGAAGAGCCTGAGGAAGCTGGGGTGGAGGATGGTATACCAGGCGGGGGAGAGCACGAGCAAAGAGAACAAAGATGAGTGCACTGTGTTAGCTAGCAGCCCTGAGCCAGAGGAGGACCGAAGGACTGGGGTGGGGAGAGGAAGACAATAGGAAATAAGGGCCGGCAATGATAAAATGGGGGCAGATCCTGGATGACCTTGAACGCCTGAGGTGTTTGGACTAAAGGCAGTGGGAAGCAATTTCAGATTCCTCAGTGAGGAATAACATGACCTGAGGCTCCTGGGAGAGGCCAGGCCCCCGGGACTTGAGCTGTAGGGATTTGGAGGCGAGGTCTGGTTTAGGGTTAGGGTGCAGCTGGGACTGGTTTGGGACTGGTTAAGGAGGCGTCTACTTTCTAGTGATCCCAGTCCTTTTGGGGAATGTTTGTGTTGTCTTCTGTTGCTCTGTCCTCCCCACAACTTGGAGATTCTTCCACCCCGCAGGAGAGGAGCCAAGAGCAGGCAAAGAGGAGTCTGGAGTTTCAGTTTCCAACTCTCAGCCCACCAACGAAAGCCACTCTATCAAAGCCATCCTGAAAAATGTATGTAGGGAAGGTTATCCTACCTTCTACCTCTTGTCCTCTCTCTCCTCCTTTTGCTCCCTCCCTCTGCCACCCATCTCCTCCCTTTCTGACCTGAGAGTGGTCACTCCTGGATTCTTTTGTGTGTGCGTGTGTGCCCCCCATGTGTGCATGCCAGGGGTGGGGTTCGTGGTTCCTTTTTTTTTTTTTTTTCTGAGACAGAGTTTCATTCTTGTTGCCCAGGCAGGAGTGCAATGGCACAATCTCCACTCGCTATAACCTCTATCTCCCGAGTTCAAGTGATTCTCCTGCCTCAGCCTCCCAAGTCGCTGAGATTACAGGCATATGCCACCATACCCAGCTAATTTTTTGTATTTAGTAGAGACGGGGTTTCACCAGGTCAAGCTGGTGTCAAACTCCTGACCTCAGGTGATCTACTCACCTTGGCCTCCCGAAGTGCTGGGATTACAGGCGTGAGCCACCGTGTCCGGCCCGGATCCGTGGTTCTTTAATGCACAGCCACCATGAAGACACAGGCACCTGGGTGACTCTACCCCTTCTATCTAGATCTCAGTCCTGGCTTTCTCTGTCTGCTTCATCTTCACTATCACCATTGGGATGTTTCCAGCCGTGACTGTTGAGGTCAAGTCCAGCATTGCAGGCAGCAGCACCTGGGGTGAGGAGGCCACAGGTTCCCAGGATGGGAACAGACAGGATCTTGAGCTGGGCTGGAAGTAGGGAAGAGAGGGAGCCTGGGTCACCTTCTCCCCATTTCCTGGGTCCATTTGCCCTTCCCTGGGCTGGAAGCATCTTCTCCATTTTACTGTTGGGGAAGCTGAGGCCCAGTGAAGGTTAGGTTTGCTATACCTGCCTCTGAGCCTGATAACCACCCATTCGTCTCCTCTTCCAGAACGTTACTTCATTCCTGTGTCCTGTTTCTTGACTTTCAATATCTTTGACTGGTTGGGCCGGAGCCTCACAGCTGTATTCATGTGGGTAAGTGGAGGAAGAGGGCCCCAGGCCCCTGTGGGAAGTAAGAGTCGAGACTGGACCCAGAGAGGGAACCCAAGAAAGTATGGTAGTAGGGGGACCATTTGTTTTAAAGTCGAGGCATAATTTATGTATAGTTAAGTACAAGTCTTAAGTGTACAACTTAATGAATATATATATATGCATACCTGCCCAGATCGAGATATAGAATATTTCCAGCATTCCAGAAGGTTCCACCATGCCCCTTTCAAGAGTAACCCCCTAAGGCGAACCAGGCTTTGAGGTTTCAGTTCAGGTCCTGAGAGGCCCCAGATGGATCCTTGGGGGCCTGGTTGTGCCCTGGGGTGGTGGCCTGGGCTGAGGCCCTGCCTGGTGCCCACAGCCCGGGAAGGACAGCCGCTGGCTGCCAAGCCTGGTGCTGGCCCGGCTGGTGTTTGTGCCGCTGCTGCTGCTGTGCAACATCAAGCCCCGCCACTACCTGACTGTGGTCTTCGAGCACGATGCCTGGTTCATCTTCTTCATGGCCGCCTTTGCCTTCTCCAACGGCTACCTCGCCAGCCTCTGCATGTGCTTCGGGCCCAAGTGAGTAGGGCTGGCAGGGAACTTGGTGGCATCAGACAGGATCTAGAGTTCCAGTAGGGGACACTCAGTAGAGGGAGGGCAAAAGGAGAGTCCCTGCTCCCAGAGCTGAAAGGAGAGATGGCTCAGGAGGGGCTCCTAGGCTGAGGGGATAGTGACTGCAGTGGAGGTGGGTGTCCAGGCTTACTTGGGTGTAGGTGGAGACGGGCTCGCAGGAAAGAGTGAAAGACAACCCCACCATACACATTCCCTCAAGGAGGAGAAGCCAGGTTGGGGTTAGGCAGCTAGGATGGGTTGATCAGCAGAATGAGGTTCGACAGTGAAGTCACCCCACCCCACCCCTCCTTCCAGCCAGAGGCTCTGGGCTGGGGTACAGCCATTCTGAGGTAGCCGTGCCCTTCCTTCCCCACTTAGGAAAGTGAAGCCGGCTGAGGCGGAGACCGCAGGAGCCATCATGGCCTTCTTCCTGTGTCTGGGTCTGGCACTGGGGGCTGTTTTCTCCTTCCTGTTCCGGGCAATTGTGTGACAAAGGATGGATGGACAGAAGGACTGCCTGCCTCCCTCCCTGTCTGCCTTCTGCCCTTCCTTCTGCCAGGGGTGAGCCTCACTGGTCTGGAGGTTTTTCTTCTAACTGACTTCTGCTTTCCACGGCGTGTGCTGGGCCCAGATCTCCAGGCCCTGGGGAGGGAGCCTTTGGACAGACAGTGGGGACATTGTGGGCTTGGGGCTCAGAGTGGAGGGACGGGGTGTAGCCTCGGCATCTGCTTGAGTTTCTCCACTCTTGGCTCTGACTGATCCCTGCTCGTGCAGGCCAGCGGAGGCTCTTGGGCTTGGAGAACACGTGTGTCTCTGTGTGTGTGTCTGTGTGTCTGTGTCAGTGTCTGCCAGACTGTCCGCCTGTCCCGGGGTGGCTAGGAGCTGGGTCTGACCGTTGTATGGTTTGACCTGATATACCCCCTACCTCCGTTCTCCCCTGCGCCGCCTCCTCTGTGTTCTCTCCATGTCCCCCTCCCAGCTCCCCATGCCCAGTTCCTACCCATCATGTACCCTGTACAGTTGCCACGTTACTGCCTTTTTTTAAAATATATTTGACAGAAACCAGGTGCCTTCAGAGGCTCTCTGATTCAAATAAAGCTTTCTTGTTTTTTTCTCCTTGGCTCCCTGTGTCCTCCAGCCGTGGCTTCATGCCCTGGAGTGGGTAGAGGGCTGGCAGCCTGAGTCCGGGAGATGAGCATGACCCAGCTGGGCCCTGGCCAGGACTGGACCTGGGTCCAAGGGCCCGGGGGTGGGGAGTAGGGGGTGGGTAGTCCTCCTGGCCTCAGAGGGGCTGCAATGCCCCCTGCTGGGGCCATAGGGGAGGGACAGGCCTAGAACCAGAACACCAAGACTATTAGCCAAGACAGAGAGAACAGGTTTTTCTTTGCTTCATAGAACAGAGGATGGAGATAGCTCCCCATCTTTCCTTTGTCTTCACTGCCACCCCCTCCACTCTGTCCCCAGCCCCAGCAATGAACTCTACAAAACTGGCCAGCTCCTGGCCGCACTCCCACACCACCAGGCAGGAAGAGGCTGAGGCCTGAGGGTTCTCCCCTACCTGGCAACCAGCCCTGACATCAAAGCTCAGCCTGCCAGACTTCCTGGGGAACAAGGGGCCTGTGTGTCCACACAGTGAAACCAACCCTCCCCTTCTCAACCCAAACTCTGGCCTAGGGAGGAGTGGGTTGATATGGAACTATGAGAGTGTCTCAGTGGAGAGGGCCCTGCCACTGGGACTCCCATCTCAAGAATGACCTCCTGACTGGAAGTGGGACCAGAGCTCTGGCCACAGTGCAGCACCCCTGCAATTTGCACCCCCTACCCTCCCACAAGTCTCAGACTTCTCCCAGAAAGCAGAAGACATTCCTGAATTCTCAGTGCGGGCTGCTCACTCAGCCCTGGCCGGCGGATGGCTACAGAGTTGGCACCTTTGTCAGTCCTTCCTTTCTCACTGGAGTTTAATTTAATTGAGAACTTCAGGCCTCATTAAGGGCTGTTAGCGCATTTTTAAGGCTCTTTGATGAGCTCTGAAGCCCTAATGGAGTAGCTAAGTATACCAGGGCACTGGGAACTGAAGTTCATATGCTATTAATCTTTTGTCAGACCAGAGTATTTATCTGAGGTGCTGGAAAACAAGGCATTCCTTTTGGATCAGGTTCAAAAGCTGAGGGGTTCCCTGAGTATCCTTCCCCCAGTCTGCAGTGCTGTTTGGCAGTAAGTCAAGCTGAACGTACAAACCTGAGCTCTTTCTTGTCCTCAGTCCTCTCATTGTACCCAAGCCCCAAAGAGCCCTATGGGTTTCCTTCCTCAGCACCAGCAGTGCCTCAGAATTCTGTATTTCTTCCTAAGGTTGCTTTACCACCTCCTGCCTGACCCATTGGGACTTCCAGGTCTCTTCCAGTCCATTCCACACATGGCCACAAGAATAATCTGAAAGCGAATCTAGCAGGTGCTGCTTGCTCTCTGGAGCGTGCGTCTGTGTCCTGAGCGTTTTCTGATCCTCCACCACCGACAGCCAGTTTGTGCAATTTCTTTGCACCTCAGAGCTTTCATAATGTTGTGACTTCTATCTTGTTCTTATCTTACTCCAGCTACCACTGTCATGTTTTTGAGCTTAGGGTGTACTTTTTACTCCTATTTTGGCTTTTCAAGCTATGTCATACCTGCCTCCCAGAGGTACTTGGAAAATGTTGGCTTGATGGCACGTGCCTTATCCCAAGGCAGAATTCATCTCCACAGTCCTCACATGCCCCACTCCAGCCATGTGGTAGCAGGCCTTGCTTGTGACCCTGGGATAGAGGTGGGGATGCTAAGTAGGTTCCTCTCAACCCCAGCACTGATTTGAAAGGGAAAACTAGGATACAGTTCCTTTCTCCCTTCCTGTACTTAAATTGATGTTGAAGGAAATTACTAGAGTATTTTCTCCCCAAAACTTTAAAACACAAATGCTAAAAAATGTCAGTCTCTTCCATTCTCCTGACCTCAGTGTTTTCACAGGTCAACCTGGAGGGGGTGAGGAGGTTAGGAAAAGCAGCTCCTAGGCCTCCTGCCCACTCAGCTGCAGGGATGGCTCCCGACCCCAAGTGGGTGCTCGCAGGCCCTACCCTTTGGGGAGCAGGGGTCTCTTCTGGGTCCTCCACCTTCCTGCTAGCACCCTGCTGCCTGTAAAGTAGAGAGGGCTGAGCATGAAAATCCACCAGCTATCCCTGGCTGCCCTGACTTGCTGCTGGTCATCACCTTCCTTCCGTGTCACGTTTCTGCTCAAAACAGTCAATATTTCAACTGCTGTCCCTGGAGTGGCTGCCATTGCAACACAGGAATGTCCCTCTTATTTAATCTTTTATGATGAAATGTTGGGGCTTTAAACAGTTGAAAAGCTAAGAGCCGTAGTAATCAACCATCCTGGAAAACAGAAATGAAGCCTTAGGTATAATCTATGAGTCAGAATGTATCTGTTTATCTATTCTTTGAGGTGAATATGGAAATACCATGGTGGAGGCAATATAAAGCCAGGGCTGGGAAAGCGTTTGAGAAAAGAACCCCAGTTAAGTTTTTGTTTTTACTTTTTTTGGTGGTGGGGGGTGGGATGGCGTTTCACTCTTGTTGCCCAGACTGGAGTGCAATGGCACAATCTCAGCTCACCGCAACTTCCGCCTCCTGGGTTCAAGCAATTCTCCTGCCTCAGCCTCCCAAGTAGCTGGGATTACAGGCATGCATCACCACGCCTGGCTAATTTTGTATTTTTAGTAGAGATGGGGTTGTACCATGTTGGTCAGCCTTGTCTCAAACTGCCGACCTCAGGTAATCCTCCTGCCTTGGCCTCCGAAAGTGCTGGGATTACAGGCGTGAGCCATCGTGCCTGGCTAAAGTGTTTTTGGTTTTCTTTGAGATGGAGTATTGCTCTGTCACCCAGGCTGGAGTGCAGTGGCATGATCTTGTCCTCGCCAAGATCTACTACAGGCTCCACCTCCTGAGTAGCTGGGATTACAGACACGTACCACCACGTCTGGCTATGTTTTGTATTTTTAGTAGACACGGGGTTTCACCATCTTGGCCAAGCTGGTCTCGAACTCCTGACCTTGTGATCTGCCCACCTCTGCCTCCCAAAGTGCTGGGATTACAGATGTGACTGCACCCGGCCCCCAGTTAAAGTTTAACTAGAGTTAAAACTATGACAGTAATTCAAAATGGATGTAAACAGAAAAATGCAGTCACCTTAAGGAAATAGGCCTGTTTGTCCAGCAAGCCCTGCCTGGAAGCCAAGTCTTCACACACAGGAAGAGTGGCAGTCCGCAGGTCAGCCAGCAGATCTGACTCAGAGGCCAGGTTGGTAGTGTCCTCCCAAACCCTTGGGGACCAACTGTTTCCTGGGCAGGTTGGCACTAAGGGTGGAAATGGGCAGAGCCCAACTCCCCCTGGCCCCAACCTCATCAGTGGCCCTGTGTCCCGCCTGGACTCCTCTGGCTCATCTCAGTATGACCTGGCTTCCTGCGTAGATGCTCCCAGGGAGAGGACGTGCCCACTCAGTCTTCTGCATCCTTGGCAGTCCTGGTGCTCGCTGGAAGTGAGCAAGTTGGCGTTCTGGCACCAGACTGCAGGGTGACTGCTAAATGTGAGTCAGCAGGGCGCCACGAAGGCCTCTGTCCTCTCTCCTGGGCTTGCCCCATACCAGCTGTGATCCCAGATTAGTCACTCCTCCCCTAGGCCCCGCCTCCTCGTCCTTACAAGGATATGACATATGTGTTGACTTAAGTAAATTAAGTGTGCGGGAGAGCACGGATGCAGGAGGTGAGGTCCCCAGAGCTACGTGGTGCCATCACTTACCAGGATGAGCCTCAGGACGGCCCTCCCCGCACCGCACGTTCCCCCACCTAGCCTATTCCAGGCTGCTTCCCACCTGCGTTCATTCCCCTCCCCCGTATCTCCAGTCCCCGGAAGCTTCGAGACCCAAGCCTCACTTCCCCTACTCCAGATATTTCCAGCGTGAACCACCACGCGGGTCCCTAAGCCCCGCGGACAGCGGAGAACCATGGGGCTGGGGACGGCGAGAGGGGCGACGGGGACCGGGCCCCTGCCCCATCCCGCCGCGAGAAGCGGAGCCGGTGAGGTCACCCGGTCCGCGCGCCCCCTGGCGGGCGCACAGCCCCACTGCTCTGCGCTTCTGCGTCCTGGCGGGTGGGTGACCAGACTGCGTGTCAGATCCACGCCACTGCCCCGTGTCCGGGTGACCTTGAGCCAGGCTCGTTCCGTCGCAGCGCCACTCATCTGTAAGGCAGGGATAGTCACACTTGCCCTGACAACCGCGTGGGTCGTGAAACTTGTTATTCACTGAACTAGTGAATAACAACGTTACTTGGGCCAGCCACCCCTGTACTCACTGTCTTACATGGCCTTTTCTGATTTGCCAATAACCCTGTAAAGTGATGACTATTGCTATGCTCATTTTACTCCAGAAAACTGAATCTGAAAGGTTAAAGGATGGAAAAATATCCTGTAAGCTGCAAAGCACTAGGTAAATATATTTCTCTCTCTTCTCTCTCTCTCTCTTCTCCCCTTACGAGAGTTCCCAGTCAGTGAAGGGAACAGAAAAATACAAGGCATCATGTGGCACCATAATGCAAATGTGGTCCACCTTCCTCCCTTATTTTGGACACAAGACAACTCTTGTCTTCTCACGTCCTCGGGGAATCCCAAGAATCCTGGGACATTGACCTCTCATATAATCTCACCCAGGTGAAACCAGCAAAGTCCCTCCTGATGTCTAACCTCAGCCCCTCCTGGGTGTGAGCTCCTCTCCACCCAGCAGCACTATCACAGTCCTACCATTCCATCAGCTGGGTGGGGTGGCAGTGAGGCCAGTGAATGGCCCAGAAATCCAGCCCATTGAAACCTACATGCTGAAAAGGAATGACTTCATTTTGGGACAGGCCAGGTGGCAGGCAAAACAGTTAAGTAGATCAGGGTTTTTTGTGGTGCCACCTGCCCCCTGCACTTTCCACTGGCTATAATCTGCTCTGGGATGAACTGATTTGGGGTTAAGTTTTACCTTCTTAGTCAAAAGGGGCCTGGGACACTGAACAATGCCCAAGACAAAAAGGGATGCCTGGTGGGCATGATGACAG